AAGCCCACGCTGAATGGCAGCACGGCCTGCCGGTGTGTCTACCACACCTCCCAGTTTGGTGTCGTCAGCAAACTTGCTGAGCACACAAACTACAGTGAAAAGTGCACACGCGCAGCAGGATTTGCAGACAGTCTGGTATATGTATCATGAAGGGAAAAAAAAAAAAAAGACAAAAAATGGGAAAGTGTTCTTACAACTGCAGAAACAGGTAATATTTCAAAACACATACCTGTATTCCAATAATTTGAGTGAAGTTATGGCATGCACGTTGACCCTCGACTGGCTCGGGAGAGTCATGGCCGTCACAGGAGGCTCTGCGTGTGGGCTGCTCACATCATCTAGAGACAACGTGTGCAACAGTCACACACCGCGCGGGCTGCAGGCGGACGTGCCGTTCCGAATGACCCAGCCGCAGAGGTTCAGTGTCCCTCGTCACCAGCCAGCGCCCTTTGAACTCCTCCTGCATTCTGGCTCAATTGCACATGATCTGATTCAGGTTATCTCAAAAATTTTCCAGTAAAGGTTTGTTGTAATCTTGGGTTTCTGGGTTGGTTTTTTGGGGGGGCGGGAGCATGGAGGGGAGAGGCACTGACTTGGATTTTGAGCAAACAGGGGAGGAAGCAGTAGAGATGTTCTGTTTGCTGCAGGGAGCCGTCACATCACGCAGCAGGCTCCAAGGGGGGGGAGCTGGAGTGATAACCAGGGAAGTCGGGCTGGAAGCAGCCGAAGCAGGGTCACCCAGAGCAGGCTGCACAGGATCTTGTCCAGGCGGGTCTTGAATATCTCCAGAGAAGGAGACTCCACAACCTCCCTGGGCAGCCTGTTCCAGGGCTCCGTCACCCTCAGAGGGAAGAACCCAGAACAGCAAATCCGACCACAGTTATAGTTAAAATATTAATATTTATAGAACCCTTCATCATGCCCTCCTCTGTAGAGCTCCTTTTGATTACTACCTACGAGCCACACGAAAAAGCTACCGGCATGGCAAGGCTACTCGGAATCTCTGAGGAACGTAACACGCCACAAGCACTGTTCCGCACACCTGAGCCGGGGCATCACACCCTGCGGATTCACGCACACGTAAGCGGGGTGAAGCTTAGCCAGAAGGAAGAGAAATCCAACTTCCACTAAATGAGATTGAACAAAACTCTAGGGAATTTCAGCAGCATCCATAAATAAAAGTCTACTAACAACTGCACCCAACTCCAACTAGTTATCCTTTCATTAAGAAAGGCCAAAAGAGTCAAAAAACCAAGCAAAAAAAGAGGGCTTTTTCCAGTTGAAACCTCTACAAATTTAGGCTGGTTTAGCTCCAGCTTCGATGCCGTAAGAGGTGGAGTAAAATCATAGGCATTGTTGTACATGCGAGACATCAGCTAGTTTTATTACCCACAATCACATTATCTACTGCAGTTCACCAGACAAGCTTCTGAGTATGTGCTCTAGCATCAATTAGCTTTCATCAAGCTAATGACAGGTCAGATTTGCACGGAACCTGACATTCTGAAGCAGTTCCATACGCTGCAATAACCTAATTAACACTGCCATCCTCCGGCAGACGGAGAGAAAACCCACTGGCAGAAAGGAAAATTCACACCTACCGCTTGCAGCAGAAGTTGCCCACACGTATCATCAAGATCCCTTCTAAATTAAGAGGTTAAGCGCTTTTTTGCCATTTAAGCACAGCATAATCATTTCCATATTATCATGACCAGTGAACTCGGTTGTTCTGCCTACTTTATGTCTCCAAATTTAAGAAAGGTAAGATTTCTGAAGACGACAGGTCCTTTGCAATGCACCGAGGCAGAGCTCTGAATCCAAGGGAGGATTCTGCGAACACACGCAGCATTTGTACAGGGAAGTCATCCCCTTCAACACTTCATCTGGTTTTCTAGTTTACAACTTTTTAATTATTTCTGTAGGGAACGTTGGGATCAAGACTATTAGATGGTAGAAAGATGAATTCTAACAGGCCAGGATTAGAACAATGTTTAAAATAATCAGTCACTTTCTCTCCCAAAGCTTTTTATATTCTTAGTCAGCTTCGTGGCAGACTTCACGGCATCACCAAGACTTTCAGGCAGACTTTGTCTTGCCTTTACTTTCTGGGAACCACAGGACTGTCCTGCCCTTGTTACTAGGCGAATGAATAATACATAATGCCTTTGCAAAATCTCACCTACCTTTCTATACTGTGCCCAAGCCAGCAGACAGACAGTAAGTGTAAAAAGAAGAACCTCTGATGTGAACTTCCCATGATGTTCAGGGAAAAAGCAAACAAGCTACTGAAATTCCTTGTGCAAAACGCATAAAGGGACCAGGGGAAAATACTTCAGAGTCTTTTTCTAAATGATAATCCCCAATAATGAATGTTTGTCATTCGGTATTATCTAATAAAATAAGGAAAAGAAACAGCACTGAAATGTAAGCGCAAACTGTTGAGTAAAGCAAATTACTGTTGGAGGATAACAGGAGGAACCTGGACTGACACAGCTACCCTCCGTAGGCTCTGCTTTACTTTAACTTCTTAGAAAGATTCTCTTCAAAATGCAATGCAATAGAGCAACATACCTTGGATTTTGCTTCTTAGATATTTCAGAAGTTCCTGGGTGCCCTTCTTTAAAAAACAAACAAACAAACAAAAAGTCATTGAGCATTTCCCAGCCAGCACTGCTACGTCTGTTTGACAGCGAAGAACGACGGTTACAGTCACGCAGGCGCAGCCCACAGCGCTGCTGACTATAAAAGCCTCCCAGTGCTTCCCACAGCAAAACCCTCTCTGCAGCAGCTTGTGAACTTGCTTATTTACAATTCTGTTTATTTATTCCAGCTGAAAATTTCCAATCCCCTGTCACCACCTCAGGCTCCACATTTTTAGCTTTTTAGCTAAAGAAGTTAGCCAGTTCCAAGAGCAAGTAACAAATGTCCAAATGAACTCAATCTTCTCTTTAAAAAGATCTAGCACAATTAGGCTTTGGAGAAGTTCACAATTTGTCAAGGAAGCTGACTGTTCAGTGTTCCAGAAACTTTTTATGACCAAAACTATAAACTCTGGGAAAAACACTGCAGTTTACACAATTTGCATGGACTTTTAACAGCTGGATTCTCCGAAGATTTGACTTTCAGTCATAGAATCATAGGTTGGAAAAGACCTCTAAGATCATCAAATCCAACCATCAAGCCAACACCACCATGCCTACTACACGTCCTCTCACAGCAACTTCTACCGGTCAAACACAGCTACTATCTGCACAATCTGTGAGCAATTAAGCTTAATCTCATCCATAGCCTTTATGACAAAGCTGTTTTCCTCGCGATTTTACACGCTTCTCCTCGCTGCTTTAAAAGCAGGGACTGCCCTGAGGTACTAAACGTGAACTCACAATTCTCATCCTAGCTGACAACTGTATTGCACACAACGAGAGGCGGACTGATCCGAACGCGGGGGGGACGAAGCAACTGCGGAAGTGGGGAAGGAAGGAACTCTCACCAGGAACCTGGTGGGATGATAGAAACAGAGGACTGAGAAAGAGAGGCTGGAGCAGACTGGGACGGACCGCAGGCACGGCTAGGTGTGGCACGTGCTGAGCTCAGCAAGACAACAGAAGCCAACGGGGAAGAACCTGGAAACTTTTAAGGAAAAGGTGAAGTTCAGACGGAAAGCTGAGTAACAATCAGGTGGCTTGCGTGGAGAGGAAAGCAGACAGTAAGACAAAGCTCAACAGCCAGGAGATGGTACCTTACACAAAATGGAGAGACGACAATTTAACAGAAATCAACTGGAAATCCACCAGGAAACAAGAACGGGTTTGGGACTAGAATGTGAGGCCTGAGAAACAGGAAACGGCGAGACGGAGCAGGGGTGGACAAGAGAAGATCTGTGCCTGGTAGACCACACTTACCCCCCCAGTCCTTGCCAGTCCTTAATCTGAGGATTCACCTGGTGCTAGCAAGTGCCTGGGGAACCCTACAAGCTTTATCTATTACTCCTCTAAATCAGGCAGGAAAAAATCTAGACAGGCATATAAAATTCCAGTTATATGAATTTACAGTGCTGGTAACGGAGCAAGATGGTGCACGTATAAAAGGCCATAATGGAATCCTTGTGCCTGTCGTTCGCTACAGATCTGAAATACACACAAGAAAATACACACCCCTACGGTCTTCAATTTGAAAGACAGCAAATCCTCAAAAGCCTGGGAATACCAGAACTGAAGTAGCCAGGCAGCCCTAACTCACACTCCTTTGCACGCACATTTTAAGCCAACTTTGAACTCTGGAATCATCTACAACTTCCATCCACTGATCCCCTGCTCATTAATTCAGTGTGTACAATGCTCATTTAATCAGGTACACGAAGGTTCCCCTCTTCTGACAGATTACAAAATTGCATTTCAGCAGAGAGTCTTCAGCGCTGCTTATTTTTAGAGAATCCCAGTACTTTGTAAACATTTATTTTCTAACACTGGCAAAAGCACAGAAAGAAGTAGCGTGTACCACCAAGGAGAAGAGGGGCCTGCTGGGGAGAAAAGGGAAGGGAATTCTCTGGCAGCAGCAGTGCCCACGCTCCAGCCTCCCTGCTGCCCTGTGTACTTGTTTTCTCATGCACAACTCACACCTCCACTTTACTGGTGACCTACAAAGAGAACACGGATCTGAGGTGTAGGTTATCCATAAGAAAACACAGTACATCATATTGTCATTGCTCAGAACCCATCTGCCATCAAATATGCTTTGGAAATTGAATCCTAGATCCTTAAATCAGGGAAGTAGGAAATGGAAAACAGAAATCCACGCTCATCTAGGAAAAGCCTCACGTAAAGTACTCGCCTAGCACTGCAACGAACGTGATTGCAACAGGATTAGGCAGCAGACAGATGCCTTATCCCTTTTTTCCCAGACACCCGTTGCTTCATTTGCAATATATACTACAACTTCTGTATCAAATCAGAAACAGGTCCTATAAAGCAACAACCTCCTTTATTCTACAGTCCTCATGATCTTATGCACTGCGTCGGACTCCACTGGAAAGTGGACACGAATCCCAACACACAAACGAAAGAGATGGAGTAAAATTGTCCAGGCTACTTGAAATCTGGATGTTTTCTATTTTTTTTTAAAGTTCTGGCTACACAATTTGGATAACGTACACATGCAGCATCACCAAACGTTATCTACTGCCTGTAGCGCTTACCTGCAGGAGGTCTCTGCGAATGGTTCTCAAAGGATTTCCCTCCAATGCCAGGAACTTCAACTGAGGAAGGGTCCCCAAGGTGTAAGGCAATCTGCAAATGGAAACAACTCCTTTCAAAGCAGCTTCAAAATGAATTCTAGATAATTTGCAATGGTTTGTCAGATGGCCTGGTATTCCAACGCTCAGGTCCAAATAAAAAGGTACAGAATATATCACGTTTAAGAAAGGCACAGTTTGATCACAGCATTTACACGATCTAGCAAGGGTTCCTTCATTTTATGGTTGAGTCTTTTTTAAATTACATTTTACAAAGTGAAATACATCTGCTGTAGAATCAGACGCCATTAGCTATGCCTCACCACAGACGTACGCAGTTTTTAGCATTACCTACTGATATCGTTGTTGGCGAGGTCAAGTCGCTCCAGCTTCTGAAGCAGAGTAATTTCATCAGGAACTGATTTGATCTTGTTGTCTCTAAGTTCCAATACAGAGAGGGAATTCAGATGCTTCAGATTCTCTGCATTTAATATTTCAATCTGATTTTCACCAGCGTGTAATTCCTACGGAAACAAAGATCACCCACAATTATGTCACTCTAGTAAAATTACTTCATAATTTACTAATCTCCTAAATCATGGCATGGGCAAAAAAATACATGGAGAAAATACAGATCTCGATTCCCTTTCATCTGCACATGAAATACCAAAGCCTCCAGAGACCCAGAGACACGGTTCTGAACTCAGCTTTTCTGAAACCACCACAGAACCCTCAGCTTTGAGTTCCATCTCCAAGCTGGGAACAAATTCGCTCCACTTTTGTCAAGAACTTGTCGACGACTTTTTTACTCATGAAGTTTCTTAAATGTCAAGTTACAGGAAGCTGCAAGGGCAGCTCTCCATGCGTTTTGTTAGAACATGCTGAAACAGCCTGGGATTTTAACTGCTGAGTTGAGAGTTGTGCAGAACCAAGAAGGCATCTGCTGCTTGATGGCTCTGGTCACTGGAAACAACACGGTGACACAGGCACTCAGTTGGCCCAATCACTTTCCCACTAGTTGAGTCACAAACTTCTGACGTTCTGAGGCAGGCGACTTTCAATTTTAAAGACATTGGCAATTAAGGCTACAAAATACTTTGAAGATCTGACTATGCTAAAAGGAAAAAAAGTATACTTTCTCTGTAGTTACAAAGAAAGAAAATGATAGCAAATCAAGTAAATTTATCCAGAAAATGATCCTAGAGATAAAAAGTAACTGTTGCAGGCAATACTAGATCTAGTTTTTCAGTCATTCCTCTTCTAAATATTTCTTTTATTTTCCAAATCTGAAGAGTACTGCTGCAAATTTGTCTTCCAAATGACCTTAAGATTGACCAATGTGGACAATAACTGCAAATGGGGATGTATCAAATAGAGTTCTAAACACAGAATCATAAATTTTTGATCACAGCAATTCACAAAAATTTGTGTTTAAAGTGAGAGTCATTATTTTAAAAGTTTACAGCAAATACATTTCCAGTATACCAACCATTTCAAACCTTACCTTCAGTAATTTGCATGAGGGAAATTCTGGTAATGAACGTAATTTATTTCTTCTCAGATAAAGTTGTTCCAAAGATGCCATAGTTGCTAACTTTGGAGGTACAGTTTCCAGATAGTTTTTAGAACAATCTAGTTGTCTTAAGCCTACAGAAGTAAGTGTGCAAGTGACAAATGGAAAAATAAGAGAAAATAAAAGTTGTTTTCTACACAAGCATAAACATTCTATTTTTTAAAATAAACATAAAACATTTTGCCAGTCAGAAATTTGCAAGAAATCAGATCAGTTGGCACCAACAGTTCTGAAAACAAGGCATCTGCTTTTCATTTGCTCTTCATCGGGCATTCTGGAACGCGTTCAGCGACGCTGCCAGACACTAGCTCTTGTCAAGAAAGGGTCCGGTATTGCAGCCCATCTCAGAAAGATGGGCAGGTCATTTCCACAGCGTTCAGAAAAACTGGCACCTGTTCCTGTAGATCTGCCACAGCTATTCAACACGCATTTCCTATCAACCACTGGTCAGCTTGGTATTTAACATTCATATATTACAAGTCAATTTCATCACTCTCTAATTTATGCTTTTTTCCTCTACGGTAAGCTCAACTGTCTCTCTCATTTATTTTCCACTCAAAATATTTGATAAAGAAAAAAAAAAAAAGTCAAATTTCTTATGGCAGTTTAAGGCTAATAACTTCTAAGCCGAACAATATTAATCCTTACACTTCTCTGATCATTCCGTGTCCCATTTATCAAGAAATACGAACCATAAGAGGACTCAAGTTTGAGGCACAGTAGCTGCAGCTGGTTTTAATATTCTGAGCTAATACTCTTGAGAAGACATTAACTCTTTAAGAACGTATTTTTAAAATCCTGAATAATATGCACTGTATTTACGACCGTAACTACAGAACTGGCTGGACAGCATTTAACTCACTTTCCATCGCACTGATGTCTGCAGGCAGGTTCCGGAGCTGATTACACGCCAGATTGAGTCGCACCAAGTTAGTGAGCAAAGCAAAACTTGTCGGAATGTCTGCGAGGTGGTTGTTGGACAGGTCCTGAATATTAAACAAAGAAACAGAGAGAGAGGTTAGAAATAGAGATGTTTAAAATATCCCACGAGTACCACTACTGCAAAGTTAATTATTGGCAGAACATTAAAATTAGATGGCTGACATCTTCAGGATCTCCCTGGCAGAAATGTGAATAGAAGAAACGAGTCTCCCGTGACTGACAGATCAAAAGGGATTTTTCTTAAAATCTTTGGCAAACCAAGGCAAAACTTGGTTTCAAACAATAAAAACCAACCCCGCCATGTAACAGCTGACAACCTACGTAAGTCATCAGAATATTCACAAAGTTCTGCCATCACAGCTATGTTTTTTTTTTAATTAGCAGTAGCAAAACACAGATAAATCAGCCTTTCTGCACAAATAAGTATTTTTGAAAAAGTTGTAATTTACTAATTCTTCTAGATTGACAAGCTGTCCAAATCCATCCGGCAAGTGACTCAGCTCATTGTGATGGAGAAGCAGGCTCTTCAAACGTGACAACCGCATCACCTCTTCTGGGACACTTGTCAGTTTGTTGTGGCTAGGATTGAGACACGGAACACAAAGGGGAAAAGCAATTACAAAGTAGTTTTAAGAACATTTACTGCGCAGAGAACACTTCTGCTACACAGGATGCGATCCAAACGAGAGCTACCACGCTGACATCAGCCGGACTATCTTAGCCACATGCGGCCTGTTGAAACACAAACTCCTCGTTGAAACACAAACTCCTCAGAGCCTAGAGCAAGCACGAAGCACTCTGGGCGTCAGATACACGGGATATTCCGTGCTGGCACAGACTAACCATTAATTACAGGTGCAGTGAGACAGGCTTCTGCAAAACATTCTCACACTGCGGCACGCACGTATGCCTGCTGTTCGGGATACTGTCACCTTTCAGCAACATCTTCTCCAACAACTGTTACGGCCCTCTACAACAGATTAGTTTCCTGGGAGAAATTAACTATATTTCTTTGTTTGTTCAAGAATACTTCTAATCATCATGGAATTTACAATATTCCAGCTGGATCTTCCGTTCCTTTACGCGGTTCACACACACAGTGGCAGCACGCTGTCTTTCCCCTTGTGCACAAATTGACAAAATTACTCCAGTAAACAGAAGGACATGAACTTTCCAGCATGAACAAGATGTATAAAATTATTTCCAATGTATATTATTTGTGACAAAAAGCATTTTTGTTCCTTTAAAACAAAATTGCCAGACTGAGGCACTTGAATGTAGATACTGCTTTTGTGTGACTACTCAGAGTATCACTGTTTTCACCTTCCAAGCAAGACTGTGACTTTGAGTATTAGTGAAAATAATTTTAATAAACCTAAAATCATCAGTTTTGACACAAAACTTACAATTCTGAATATACTAATATTCTCTAAAATCTGAAATTAATGTTCTGAGAGGAAATTTGACGTCCTGCAATCTCTTATTCACTCCGTGAAAGTCACTGCAGTATTTCTCATGTTCCAGTTCTGTAACCTGTACTCACCTGACATCAAGTTTCTGAAGATTTTCCAACTGCCCTAAAGCAGCGGGAAGCGATGTCAGCTGATTATCATGCACCTGGAAAATCAAGTTTTTTAGAATACAGTTACCGATTCGTATCTCGCAGGTTTTCTTCCCCTATCCCAGAAACGAATCAAACTGACCTTACACCCAAAATAATTTCGTAGGCAAGTCACAGCTACCTACACGCCTCAAGGCGACTACCAACAGCAGCGCTGCAGCCGCCAGACTGGCAAAATTCTGCTGGATCAGTAGTAATGCTAAGAGGTGGTGGGAGGGTGGTGGTATCTGGTAACAGCTCTTCCTTCCGTGTCAGTGATGCAGCCCCCCAGATCCTCCTACAGAGCAGCACCCACTGCCAGCATACCAACTGATGCTTTATCAGTGACGGGTGACAAGCTTTCCTCTACCCTGAGAGCACACCCACCACCGCAGGGAAAGGGAAAACGAAGCTCTCCGGCCACGTCTTCCCTCCTCCCACGGAGAGGACAGCTGCGCCGTACGGGCACCATCGCACTCACATCCAGGACGGCGAGCGCGGGCAGCAGGCCGATGTCCTCGGACAGGCCCCGCAGCTTGTTGGAGGCCAGCACCAGCTTGGTCAGGTCCGTCTGCTCCCACCAGCGATCCGCAGCACCGAAGGAGAGGTTCTGGCGGGCTTCCTCGGGGGGGTCCAGATTTATCCGCCAGACGTGCTGAGGCACTGGGCACACAAACAGAGACACATCGACCCCATTCTTCTCCTGTCGCTCTCCGGCTGCCGCAGTCGGAGTGGGTTTCGTATGCAGACACGCAGAGACATCTAGTCAACCCCAGGGACATCTAGTCAACCCCACGGACACCC